TAATTCTATTCCTCATCCCCTGGGAGTTGGGAAAGGTGAGTGAGCGGCTGTGTGGCGTTTAGTTGCCGGCTGGGTTAAACCACGACAACCAACAATATCCCTTATTGGGTTCAAGAACAGTCCCACCCATGAGAATAACACACTTGGGTCACTGCAGTTGTGTGACAGTACACCCATTTCAAATGCACCCATTTCAAATAGAGGCACTAATCAAACACACTCTTTGTCAAAATAACATACAGAGTATGACCAATTTCTTATAAACTACTTCAAAACCAGAAGCTTCCTATTTCTTGTTCTTCCAGATGGAGTTTTACAAAACCCACCAATGTGTGGCTGTGCTGGTGCCATATTCAGTATGCAGAAGCAATATTGCGAACACACTCTTGCCGAATGCAAAGCTGAATACAAATCCTGACGGGTGGCAGAATGCCAAATGGAAGAACAAAGTTAAAGAGTTTGAGTGTTGCAGAGGATAAGGACAGTCTTAAACTGACACCTTCAATGGTCTCTCTGATGAGGTAATAATGATAATATCTGGCGCTTTAATATCATTCTCCATCTGTCAGTTCCAGGATGTTTCACAACTTGTGTTATATTCAGCTTTAGAACATGCCTGGTTTTATTTTGGTTTTACTAACACGGAAGCTATGATACATTTCTTTTCATGGCTATTTTTTTCTTCTTCTTCTTCTATTTGCATTTCACTTATAAGCAGAAACTGAGCATCCATCCAGATAAGTATTTGACTTCAAGTTAAAAGACATAGTAAAAGCTGCTAATTCTGAGGTGCATACCGATAACCCTTCTAACAGGCACATGTTTAGCACAAAACAGAACAGGGTTGCCTGCCTGAAAACAAGCTCCTAATACCCAGCTCATAGCTCCTAGGGTAGTAAGAATAGAGCTGAAGTGTTTTAAACATCAGATCATCATTCTCCCCATCAGCTTATAGCAAAAACAAAGCAAAGCATGCAATGCACCATACAGTGATATCAGCCTTGCACAGAAACATCTTACTGCAGGACAATGTGAGTACAGTATCTTAATCACAGAATCACAGAAAATAGTGCTAGAAGGGACCTCAAAAGGTTATTTAGTCCAACACTTTATCTCACAGCAGGATTAGCTATACCTAAATCATTTCTGACAGGTGTTTGTCTAACCTCTTCATAACCTCCCTAGGCAATTCTTGTGCTTAACTATCCTTACAGTGGAAAGGGCTTTTTTCCGTAATGTCTCACCTAAATCTCCTTTGTTGTAATTTAAACCTA